AAATTTATATAAGAATTTATAAAACTATCGCTATACTCAAAATAAAATCACAAGGTTAAATTGTAATTAACAATTGATCAATAAACTAGATCGATCAAACCTACTAAAAACTAATCTTCTTTGTCTATTGACATATTTCGCATCTGCATTCCTTGATTAGTAAGTGCATCAATATCAAAATCTTTTTCACTATGATTAATAGCTTCATCTAGAATTATAGGTTGATCTGTATTAATCAAAGCATATTCTAAATTAACACTATTTTTAATATTTAATATATTAGAATTAACTTCAGATAAATCATTAGTCTTCTAAGTTAACTTCAGAATTATCTTCAGAATCAGATTGAATGTTTTCTTTAAACATAATAGTACCTGAAGTAAATAAATGTGCATAATCATGCATTATGTTTAAAAAATTACTTTCAGAAAGATTTTGTCCAACATAGTTAAGTTCATAGCGTGCATTTGTAACATAATATACATGTAATTTGGCCATATTTGAAACTTTTTTTATGGTCAATCTAATAAATTAAATTAATACATATAAAAATTAAAATAAAATATATACTAATATTACAATTAGCATACATATATATAGGCCGTTAATGAAGTGCTCTAGTTAATAATAAAATATATAACCCACTCTGGAGTACTCTAGAAGTGGGTTATATACTTTATTATAGTCTGAAGCACTTTATTAATAACCTTACATACATACCTATTTTGATGTTTTTGAGTAAACCAATTTAAAATTGAAAAAACATGCTCACACCCTGCATTATAAGGAGTAATTGCGAGAAATAGCAAGGCAAGTTTTTGAAAATTATGATATAGTTGTTTGCATGCTTTCCACCAAGTTTCTAGAAGTTCAAGATGATCTTGAAAAAGAGAATCATATAGAGGCTTTTGAAGATCATAATTATGAATTTGTGCAACTAATTCTCATGCGCTATTTTCTCCTTCACCTTGTAACTTTCAGATATTTAAAGCTTTCCGAAGAATCCTTTGAAATACTTCACATGTCAAGCCCTTATTATGATATTTAGGGTGAAGAAAATAAGCTAACAAATAAAAGTTAGTATTGAATTTAGTCTATCTTTTGTTATAAAAAACAATATAGCTTTTTCGAAATTCAAGTCTTTCAAGAGTTGTTTTCATAATTGGTATAGCCTTAATTGTAATAGCCATTTTAATCAAAATTAAAAATACATCAGCAAATTTAACCTTTAATGATTCAACAGTTTTAACAGCAGTTTTAACAGGTTCAAGAACTTTATGAAGACATTTAATATTAGCCCAAAATTCATAGCTTGTAATGTAGTTTCTTAATTTTTCATTAAGTGCCTGAGAATCATTTTCTACAATTTAAAAACAAAAAAATATATATATATATAGATTAATAAATAAATAAAAAATAAGAATTCTATTTTAATCTATATTAAAGTTACTTGATAATTTATAAAATTAATTTCGCTTAAATTAATAGTACTGTAAAGTGCCATATGCAATACCTGGGTCTGTTACATTCTACCAATTTTTAAACTATATAGTAGACCTGGGTCTAGTATATGCTGAGAGGTTATGTTGTAAAAAGAAAAAAATATAAAGTGCATACACACTTTGTATTTATAATAAACAGTCTATAAATTTTGTAGTTTGTGTCCGGGTTTAGTTCATGATGGATTTACTATTCAGGGGAATCTTGTATACAGCACTTTATAGTATTAGTAATAACTTAGATTATTTTAGTCTGGATCAAAATAGAAATTTCTAATAAATAATATTAAATAAATAAAATAAAATATACATTTTGTAAAACACACTCTAATTTCAAAATCAAATCGCAACAATCCCATACAGAAGACCATCTAGTTTTGACTGATGATTTTAAACCTCCACCTTTAATAAGTAAATTTGTAATTTCATCTCTTAAT